TTGTACAAGCAAGAGTATTTGGCTGCATGTAATGATAGTGCCCCCCTCCCCACTTTTAATGTCTTAAGAAAATTCGTACTGCATGTTGCAGGAGGGGAAGAACTGCAAGGTGTAATATAAATGTTGTACATTAATGAAATACAGTTTGCTTTTGACATGTATCCTCAAGAACTGTTTCCTATAAAGATAAAATATTTTAAAACTCATCTCTAGCATGTCAGTTTAGGCAATTTATGTCTAGTGGGCTACTGGAATCTGCAGGGAAGCTCTGTAGGTTTGAATTGCTGCTAAATAAAATACTGATGTGGTGTACAGGATGACCCTCTTCCCTATCACTTCACTTCTATGGCTATGAAAAATAGCCTACAGCGAAAAAATAACTGTGTATTATCAGCTTTTTTTAAAAAAATCCCATTTCATTTGACACACTCTTGAAAAGCACTAATCTTCAAAAAGGTCAGCAATGTTTGACAGCAGAATCTTAAAGGACAAAAATAACATGTTATTATCCTAAGGCATTTAATCTAAAAATATCCCCCCCTCATTTATTATAACTCATGCTGCAGAAATTCTGCTGTTCAGATAATGGCTGATTAAAAGTTGGTCATACTTAAAGATGTAACTACAAGAAGAGCGAAGCATTCCTTTGGAAAGATGAAATAGATGTGCAGTATTTTAATCTCTAAAAAGGATTAAATGAATATTTAAAAATCTATTCATCCTTCTTGCATGCTCTCCTGTGCTTGAAAATACCACAGGCTAGCACTGAATCAATAGTAACCAGGAATTTACAAATGTTATAAGTTAAACTCTTCCTTGAGAAAGCTCATTGCACTTTGTAGAGGAAGAAGGCTGGTTTAATTACAATGGGGCAACAGTACCTCTATTTCTCTGTCTCTAACAACACCGAATGTTGGACATTAAGTGATGAATAGATAGTGAATAGCCATAAAATTAATACATCACCTCTCCATCACATGCAGTACATTAGGGAAATTGCACTACCTTTAGAAACATCCTTGTGTGCATTAGGGAATCACAACTGTGCCTTAAGGAGTGTGAAAATATGGTATCGGGGGGGGGGACCCTGTTTCAGATCTGAACCAAGCTGTTGATCAGTGTTTGTGTAGCCCCCGAGAAGGGCGGTCAGCATCTTGAACTTGCTGAATCTATTTAAAGAGTCTGTGTTTTGATTCTCCTTCAGTAAAATTGGACAATTCATATTTGCATATCAACTGGATGGCCTAACCTCAGAATTGTTGTTGTTTAGTCATTAAGTCGTGCCCGACTCTTCATGACCCCAGAATATCAAATTTAATTTTGGCAAAAGTACGACTAGTTTGGCACTCCACTTCCCTGCCGTGAGTGATTATTTCTTACTTTAAACTGAATTAGTGACTGTAACTATGCCTCTACATTAAGCAAAATTTAAGTACAAGTTCTATGGTAGTATTTGCCAGTTGGAATCCTACTGACATTAACGTAAGTGTTCCATAACTTGATGCAGATCATTGTGTCTAATAGAAATGATGCCACAGCACATCTTGATTGTGTGAGCAGGCATGTGACCAAGACGTGCCCCAGCACCTCATCAATCAGCAACTGTTAACCACAGCAAGTTACCCAACAAGGTTCTGGCCCCAGTTAATTTAATAATATTACCGGACACTGAGTACAATCACTTTGTATGGTATATGGGGAGAGGGGGATCATATTTAGATAATACTTATTACTGCAATATATAGTGCTTATAGTCCTGCATTCCTTTCCTAGGGAAGGCTAATACTCAAATTAATTTTCAAGCCAGTTTTTCTGAAGAAATAAGACCCAAGTTAAGAACAAGAACTCCTCTCCATGCTGGTTTGCTTGTTTTTTAGGTGAACATGTTACTTCACAGTCACAGCTACATCCACAGCTTGGATTGACTGACTGACTGACTGACTGACTGACTGACTGACTGACTGACTGACTGACTGATTGATTGATTGATTGATTGATTGATTGATTGATTTAGCTGTCTTTCTGTCTATAGGGGACCCAAGGAGGCTCATCGTAGGCAAAATAAGAAATTTCAACATTTTTGCCTCCTGAAACAGTTTAGGCTTGATTTGATCTAGAACCAACTTGTTCATTTTTCTGGCAGAGTATCTGCAAAGCTCTCCTCCAGTACCACATTTCAAACAAATCATTTTTTTCCTGTCAGCTTTCTTTTCTGTCCAGCTTTCACACCCATACATTGTGATCACAGATACTAGAGTGTGGATGATCCTGGTCTTGGTTTCCAGTGACACATCCTTACACTTGATTATCTTTTCTAATTCCTTCATTGCTGCCCTTCTGAGTCTCAGTCTTCTTCTGGTTTCTTGGCTGCAGTTTTTATTTGGATTGATGATTGAACCAAGGTATACACAGTCCCTTGTCAATGTTAAAGTCATGTAGTTTGTCTGTAGTCATGATTTTGGCCTTCTTAATATTCAGCTTCAGTCCTGCTTTGACACTTACTTTTTTCACTTTCACTAAAAGTTGTTTTAGGTTGTTGCTGTTTTCTGCTAGTAAGATGCTGTTATCTGGGTATCATAAATTACTGGCCTTCTTAATATTCAGCTTCAGTCCTGCTTTGACACTTACTTTTTTCACTTTCACTAAAAGTTGTTTTAGGTTGTTGCTGTTTTCTGTTAGTAGGATGCTGCTATCTGGGAATCATAAATTACTGGTGTTTCCTTCACCATTTTTCACTCCTCCTGCATCAGAATCTAGTCTGGTTTTCCATATATGTTTTGTGTACAAATTAAACAGATAAGGGGATAAAATACACCCTTGTCCGACACCTTTGCCTATAGGAAACCATTCTGTCTCTCAAAATTCTGTCCTAAGCCCTGTTAGCATCGCTATGTGTTGGTTCTAACTTGATGGCACACAGAATCCTACAATAATTGAGTTTGAAGAGACCTGTAAGGCCTATAAGGACCTGGTGTGCTCTTGTCCATGGGGTCACGAAGAGTCGGACATGACTAAATGACTAAACAACAACAAATAAGGCCATTGAATCCAACGCGCTGCTCAGTGCAGGAATCCAAATCAAAGGAAATCTGACATATCGTTGTCTAATTTTCTCTCGAATTACTGCGGCATCAGAGCTCTAGCCATCTCCTAAGGTAATTGGTTCCATGCTCTAAAAATTAAGACTTTTTCCTGATATTCAGCTGATATCTGGCTTCCTGTAATTTGAGCCCATTATTACATGTCCTGCACTTGGGGATGATTGAGAACAGATCCTGGCTCTCTTCTGTATACCGTCGTTGTCTAATTTTCTCTCGAATTACTGCGGCATCAGAGCTCTCGCCATCTCCTAAGGTAATTGGTTCCATAGTCTAAAAATTAAGATGTTTTTCCTGATGTTCAGCTGATATCTGGCTTCCTGTAACTTGAGCCCATTATTACATGTCCTGCACTTGGGGATGATTGAGAACAGATCCTGGCCCTCTTCTGTGTACCATAAAAAAAATCTAATTGCACTTTCTAATGCAGAAGCCAAAACTGAGTTATCATTCAAAGTTTTGACTCCTCGGGACTTTGTAAGGTTGTCCTATTTTTTCTTAAAAAGTATATTTTGGAGAAGAGTGCACACACAAAAATTTATGAAAATAACATTCAGAACACATTATTGTAAGAAATTTCTTCAGAATTGTCTATATGAAGCATAATTGCATACAGACCATATATATTAGGAAAAATGTGCAGAAAAAATGCAGCAAGGGGTAACACTTCATGGTAGTAGAATTCCACTTATAGAACTGTCTCTCAAGATAATTTTGACTGATCCCTCCATTTATGTTTCTTAGTGTGACAGTTGACACATCTTTTCCTCAGGCTTTTAATGGGGTTTAATGGTATGTTTATATTACTCTGTGTTTTGATTATATATAACTCTCTGTGTGTGTATTCATTCCATACTGCTCTAACAATTAAGATCTAGTTTTCCAAATCACACAAAACACCTCCACCCTACCCCCACAACAATAACAACAACAACATATCAGTCAGAGTTAATGGTGGATGCATGGGGACCAAGTGAGATGGAGAAAAGAAAGTGACAGTTGCATTGGTTGCATAATATATCACCATAGTCTATGCAGGATATAAAGAATAGAGGATTTTTCACTCTGAACTCTATGTATCTAAATGTGTAGCCTATTACAACTCCAGGTGTCTGAAGAAGTGAATAGTAATTCATGAAAACTACACTGAAATAAATCCCTTGGTCTCTATGGTGCCATTACTCTTTTGTTTATATTTTTGCTATACAGGGCAGTTCAACTGACTGAACATTACAGTCCCTAAAATTAGCATTGCAGACAAGTTGTGTGGACTGTTAGGGGGAAGATTCTGGAAAGAAAAACAAACTATCTGTTGTTGGCTCTTTTACCCAGATATCAAATTGCTGAAAAGCAAAGAAAAGTGACTTTCAGTATAGTAATAAAAAGTACCCAAAATGTGGTGACTCTGTTGACAAGCACAAGAAAGTATTGTCGATATCTTTTCTTAAGATTTCACAGCAGGCTGAAAATGCAGAAAGGGAAACAGGTGGCAGAAAGCCAGTACATATGAACAGAGTGGCTGCTGGTATTTACTTATATTCTCTCTATAGAACTACAGAACAATGGAGTTGGAAGGGGTCTATAAAGCCATTGCGTCCAACCACCCCTGCTCAGTGCAGGAATCCAAAGTATACCTCAGATTTCAAGCATTTCATCAGATCCATTCCAGACTAATAGCATTTCTGTATACTCATTAGGAATGTCAACATTCTGAACATGGTACAATTCTTGAACATCGTTAGGATGCTGCATTAGATTGTGCAACTTTCTGCCCCACTCAGATGAAGGGCGTAGACATATATTATTTTATTACACAACCTTGTAGAGGTAAGCTGGACTGATGTTACCATTTTATTGTAGAGGACATCTTATTTTTCAGCTCATCCTGTCTTATTATCATAGGGTCTGCAGCACTGGATCAGAAAAGCTGTAATGCAGCAGCCCATGTTATGAAACCTACCTGCTGAGTTGGAATCTCATGAAAAAGTGAGACACAGAACAGAGAAAGGTATTTAAAAAATTTAAAGTCATTAACAGTCACAGTTTTATATTAATAGTCTAAGTATTTCTTGTTTTATACTCTCTCTCTCTCTCTCTCTCTCTCACACACACACACACACACACCCACACACACACACACACACCTTATTTATTTGAATTGCAGGACACAGTACTGATAAACAGCATAGAGAAAAACTTGATTCTAAGGAGACATATTTTATCTGGCAGATATTTTTCAGAGACTTAATTTGTTAAACAAGACCTTACAGGGCAAAAACAAGAACCTTGTAAATAATAAAGAAGCCATTGTTTCTTTCCTCAAGAAACTCAAAGTCTATTGAGATTTTTTACAATTTCCGAACCTAAAGACAATAGCTGAGGGGCTGAAAGACAATGACCTTACCGTTTATCTGAAGCATCTCAAGCAGATGCACAAGGATATGCAAGAAAGATTTAATGATCTGCTAAAACTGAGTATCCCGGAATAGATTTTGAATCCATTTGAATTGCAACCCACCCAAGCTGAGGCAGAAATTCAAGAGAATTTGATTGGTCATCAAAGTGATTCATCTGCAGATTGTCCGTTTAGTCAACCTCAAAAAGATTTTTGGGTCAAGAGAGTAAGCTGGACTCTAGATAAATTTCCAACACTGTGGAAGAAAGCCCCAATTTTTTTATTGCCTTTCTCTCAACATATTTGGTTGAGTGTGGATTCAACAAGGTACAGTAGTTTCCTTGACAAAATTAAGGAACAGAATTGATATTGCAACCTCTGACTGTCATTATCTAATTTGGAGCCTGATACTATGAAACTTGCAGAAAAGCACCAAGCTCAAGCATCACATTAGGCCTAACAGATGTTTAATTTCATACAGTCTTTTAACAAATTTTGTCAAGCATATCAGAGTGTTCATGTTTTCTTGATGTTCAATAATAAATGACTTTGTGTTTGTCTGTTCATGTTGTGTCCTTGTTTGAAGGGGGCCCTGGAACCTGAGACAAGCTCCTATGGGGGTCGTAGCCAAAAAAAGGTTAAGAATCGCTGGTCTAGCCAATAACCATTTGTTGTAGCACAAGAAAAAACAGAAGGTTTATAGCACTTTTAAAATTCACTAGTTTTAATTTTTCATAGGCTTTCTTACATCTGAGCACACTTCTTCAGAGGAAAAAAGTATGTTTGGACACATGAACGTTTATGAAAAAAATTAGTTAGGCTTAAAGGTGCTACGAGACTTTTGGTCTCTGTTACATAGATGTTGACTCACCAAATTCACCAATGATGCAATGGGTTTAGTCTAGCTGCAACTTCCTACTAAATTTCAGTCACTATGTAAGATATAAGATGATTTTAATTTGACTTGAATATATGTTTTGCAAAATATTTCTAGTTCATAATGATAAACAGGATGCCCCTCAATAAAAGTTAGAATATTAAAAGTCATTGGCTGGAATCCTGTTGTACAGTTGCACAGATGGTGTAACGTTTTGATACAAATTGACCTAAGTTAAGAAATCTCCACAGGCATTTTCTGTTGCACATTGAGTTGTTTGTTATGTCTACAGAGATTTCTTAACTTAGCTGAATTTGCTTCCAAATGTTATGCTACTTGCATAACTGCATAAGTCAGTGTTAGATAAATATACAAGTAAAATCTTCATCCTTGCTATCAGAGGCTCATGGTTTGGTCTAGGGAGGAGTGTCATGCCAACATTTTCTGGTGAGCCCTCCAAACTCAGACCATAAGCTGCTCCCAGTTGTTCCATTGTTGCAGGAAAATTTTATGTGTTGATTTCTTTATTTTTATAAATACAGCATATTTATTGAGGCCTTGCAGCCACTACAGTTAAGCTATAATGTATCTTGTCATCCTCTCTACCATTTCACATGCAGTATATTAAAGATCTGTTTATGCAAATAGATTTCTGATGTATCATCAAAGGGGACACGTGACAACTAAACCCATCCATTCTCAAGGTTTGTTTTGGGTTATATGTATATTACATGTGACTATAGATAATAAAATGGATGCCAATCCCCCCCCCCCATTTTTTAAACAAGCTGTTTAGCAAAACAGCTTGTTTAGGGAATGGCCGCTTGATGCTGAGAAGAGATGCTCAAACCTTTGTCTCATGGCACTTTCTGCTCAAAATTCTCCACTGTTTCTTTTTACTAGGGAGAAAGACATCAGGGAAAGGACTGTGAGCAGGAAAATGGCCTAAGAGAAAATGTTGATCCAAGTGACCTCTTTCCAACATACATATGCAATGGCAGCTGATGCCCACTGAGCAGATGGGGTGGAGAGCAAGATGAGCTAAGGGGTCATGTGAGGTCGAGTCAACTATATCTAGTTTGCAACCCAACTGCCTAAGAAGAGCAATAAAAATGTAAATACACCAAACTCTAGGTGAGACAAAGGCAACATGCAAGGAGGAATGCCACTTGACTTTCCTCCAGACTTCCCTTTGTTAACATGATCACCTCTTGAATCCCTGTTTAGATATAAAAAGCGAGAAGCAGCAGAGTACAGATTCTATCACATACAAATTTATTTGCAAGTTAGATTCCTTGGATTACTCAGAAGCATTGGTAGCATATTTTAAGTATCCCATATATACCTGTCTTAACATGACATGAGTTATCATGTTAAAATTCAGTTAAACAATAATAACATCACAACCCAACTGAGTTAAAAGTTCTTTAAAAGAAGACCAATAAAAAAGGGCAGTGCCCACCCATTAAAAAATCCTTCCTCAATAGCCGGTCTATTCTCTGGAGAGTAATCATTAATATAATCTCCATAACGTGGCAATTTTTTAATCATCCCCATCAAAAAGTACAAAGTTATTTTAATTATATTGTTAAGAGAGAAACAGATTTTAGAATGATGTTGACATTTAACCATAGGGACAATAGTTTATTTAAAAAAACACACACAAAAATTATCAGGCAATTTTTTCTAGTTCACTCTAGTCCTTAGGCAGTGCAGTATCTTGTTTCCAGCTGAGTCCTCTACTTTTTTAAGCAAAGAAACCCATCGCACTCTCTGTTCTGACTTTTCCCTCTTTTCTTCCCCTGATGTATGACTTGTTGCGTCTACATATAGAGATTAATCCAATTCCTCCTCCCAAGGTCTTGTTGGTAAGGCCATAGGTTTTTAGTTGTCCTACACTACTAGTTCTCTTAGTAACCAGGTTTGATTTCTGCCTCACCTCAGTTTCTTTGGATAGCGCATTGTAACTCTGACCTTTTGAATCTCTTATCAAGGGTACTTTAAATAGAAAGCAACCGTTTTACAATTAAGAACAAACATAAAATAGCAGAACAATGTCACTCTGTTACAGTATACTGTAATTTGTATATTTTGTTATGCCCCCAGATTATTCACTTTGTTCATGGAGGAAATTGATTTTTTTTTTCTGATACAAAAATCTTATACCTCTTAAGCTCCTTTTTATCCTCCTCCGATCATGCTTATTGTTGTGATAAATCTTTGTGTACAGCCATCACTTTTAGAACAGGATACATGTACCAGATGTTTTGAGTTTCCTTTCAGAATGTTTCACTTAACAGGGGCTGATTGTCAAATTATAGTTTCTAGGTACTAGGTGATCTTTGTGAGTACTCAAATAGAGACAGTACAAGCGCTTGACATGAATATATTGTGTATATTGAAGTTTATACTTACAGTTTCATATAGGAAAAAAATAGGGACTACAGAAAATCAACAGATGGATGGATTCGGTATTGCGTCTATATTCTTCTGGGGAAAAAGGAGTTCCATTTAGAATAGCATTCATATTTCTTTGAGTTGTGGTGTCAAGCTCAGTCCTCAGGCAACTGAGGTCCTGAGAATTCTTCTCTTTCAGTGTGGGGAACTGATGAATCCCTCTTTGTTTCTCAGGATAGTGTATTTATTGAGTGACCAGCTGCAAATTTTGCTGCTGCCTCCTCTGCATTTAGTGTGTTATCTGAGGCATGTTGATAGCTGTACCAGTGACACACAAACATACAGTATTCATGACTTTCCCATTCACTTCTGTTTTATCTTTTTTCCCTTCCAAGGAGCCCCATACACATAGGAAAGTTTTAAGTCCCCAGACTCAAAGCCCCACTTTCCATCAACAGCCTTTTAAGAGTCAATTATTTCTTTTATCTAGTCTATCTATGTTTATATAATTACTTTTTTTCCCCTGAACGGTAAGCTTGCTTTTGTCTAATATCCTCCCTCTGCAGTGTTTCAGAAGCAGGAATAATAATTTTAAAATGCTTCATGATAAATGTTGGTTGCATTAAACCTCTTGTTGTGCTTCAGTGCCTGTTGTTTCTGTCATTTGAGTTGCAAAATATGAAGGATAAGATGTCATACAGGAATGAACATGTAGTTCAGCATACTTTCTAGACAAAAAGAATAATGTGACTAATTACATGGATGTTTTAATAACTCTTCAGATCTGAGTTTATTAGTGGAACAAAATGAACAAATATACTTCTAAAAATTTCAGCTAATTCCTGTGTACGTTTGCCCAGAAAGAATTACCACTGGTTTCAATTGGTCTTACTCCTTGCAAAATAAATATACATATGGGTTTCAGCCTTAATGTAGTGAGTTGTAAGAAGCTTGTCTCATCTGACTCATCTTTCAGTATACTGTTGTTGATTCCTCACTGATCTGTGAAAATAAATTTATTCCAATGGAAAAGAGGCTGGAAGCAAAGACTATTCAGAAGAACAATAGCCAGAATCCTATTGGGATTTTATTGTATTGTAAGTAAAGTCATGTTGGTTGCAGCAGCAAATTGTAGCTAATTAACAGGATGTTGGTTATACAGCCAGGCACATGACCAACATCTAATTAATCAGCACCTTGCTAATCCTGCTACGACCATAGTGTGGGCAACTCATGACTTAAAACTAGCACTCCACTCTTTTGCTCCAGATAACATGATAGGTCCAAATGAAAGCACCTACTGCCTCTTTCTCCCAGCTTTCTTTATTCCTGTTCTTAT